AAAAAAAAAAAAAAAAAAAAAAAAAAAAAAAAAAAAAAAAAAAAAAAAAAAAAAAAAAAAAAAAAAAAAAAAAAAAAACAGAATATTTTGAATGTTTTTTTTGTTTTATTTTTTTGTCCGTGAGTGTTTAAAAAATATATTTTAAACGTTGGAAATTTAAGATGAATAAAATACGGAATGTGCTTATGTGGCTGGCTCTGCCAATAACGTCGTCCGCCAGTTCGGCGCCGGTCGATCTGACAGGAGGTTCAACGGCGGTGGGACGATGTGGGAAATTGATTTGGTTGATTTTGAAAAGATTCGATGGCTCAACTTGGGACTTGGGATTTGGATTTAATTCTTTTTCTAGTATTAGTTTTTCTTATTTAAACTTTTAAAATAAAGTTTTTATTTTATACAAGTTATTTAAACTTTCTTATGCATACGTACACTAAATCCGCTTGACAAGCATTACATTCATACCCGAGGTGTTACTAGATATGCATCTCTTTCATGCATAGATGTACATTACTTTCATACAAATCGACCAACAAACATCACTTTTATGCATATAGAGCCCCTTGGGACATGCATCACTTTCATGCTGTCTAATTTTATAAAAAATAAAAGGGATATGTTTAACGTACTTGTGAGCATGAAAATGCATGAGATCTCACCTACAAAAAAATATTTGTTCATTAACCTGATGCAATATAGAAATTCTTGTAATACAACCAATACTAGCAACGCTTGCGACCTAGATGACTCCAACCCCAAACTGCAACTGCCAACCTAGCCCAATGATGCACAGTCCATAGCCTAGTTGCCCACCATTAGCCCAATTCATAAAGCTTACACCCAACACAATTCCGACCCATAACCTTATCTCGATACTCCTATCGACTCTATCTCAACTTAAGTGGCTCATTTGGCTTAGGTTTGGATTTTGAACACTCTCTTACTATTTAGGATTCTTCTAGAACCATTTTTGATGTTATTGGGAGGGTTGGTTTAAGGTTAGCCGGGCTAAAAGTTGAATTAGTTGATGTTGTTAAGTGAGTTAAGTCATTTATTATGTCTTAACCCGATGTCATGGGACTTCTTTAAGTGGCATTGAATTTCAAGGAGCATATTCAAGCCGAATAAGAAACTATGGTGAATCTAGTTTAAACTAACCAAATAAGTTGTTTTCCTGTTGGATACTCATGGACTTGGTTGGATGACTTGTGGGCGGTATGAATGGTGTGTACCCTATGATTCTTATACGTATCATATTTTTATGATACTATGTTATGAAATTACGTTATGATAGAAATGTTATATGATGCAGACAGTTCCATATATCATGTCACATATATTATTATAACATGTTCACACTATGCTTAATGAGACATTGATAAGTTATGTATGTTAACCGTAAGAGATATGTAAAGTATATACACACATCTCTCATAGGAAAGATATATCATAAAAAGAATGAAAGTATGATTTGCATCACAAGTATGCACCATGATTTAAAAACTATGGGACCTCATGCATTTTTTTACTTCTCCAATATAATTAGTATGGACACATATACCATGATATTATATGCACTTCTTGATCTTTGAGGCTTCCGATAATGTGAGCATGTACTAGCCCGTAGTCAAACCTAGGGAGTATGTATATGAGCTTGCATGGTGGGTCCATTTACACGTGCGTAGGTGCGTATAGAAAAATACTATACATCCAACCTTGCCAAGATTGAAAAGTAGAGCTCAAAGGAAAGTTTATGAAATGATAGGTCTCTCCATGATTTCATTTTCTCATCCCAATAATGAGGCTATGTACTATTTTTAATTACTCAAGTCACTTTTGTTATTTCTTTTCTAAGTAAAGGTGAGACACTCATGACAGGTGAAGAGTCGTTATTGAAGGTCATTGAGATAAATCATGTTCGGCATAAGCATTTCTTTTAAATTATTGTTATTTCAATTTTGTTGTCTTATTGATGTTAACGTTTAAGTCCATGACATCGTTTACATATGAATATTTCTAAATAAACTTTGACACATATTAAACATGTCATACATGCCGTGGCGATTTTGTAGGTGCAACATTTGGCTAAGAAATTTCTCTTTGGTATAGAGTTTTTAACTCTTTATTAAGACTCTAAATTAAGCTAAATGTATAAGTTTAAATAGTTTGAGGTCGTGATTCACGATTTGTATGGTATATATGTCATATCTTACGGATAATCAGTTGGAAACTCTATATTTGTGTGTTGTCGACTTTTAACTAATGAGAGTGTAATATTAACCAAATAATTTTATGAGACACCGTGAATCAGTTGGGGTAAAATCTCCAAAAACTCTCGCTTATACACCATTTGAACATAGATACATCAACTCGCGAGTTACGACATTTCGATACCGTTAAAATTTAGGTAACTCATTAAAGAGATTAATTATTGAGTATTTATAATGCGTGTGGTATGTATTTGACAATGTGTGCAAGCAACCCATTTTGATATTTGATTGGATTGTTTAAAATATATGTTTTTGCTAATGATATAATTATATATACATTTATTTACTTCATTTTTATTTAATTTCAAGATTATTTTTTAAATGATTTATCCTCCAACCATACTTTAAATATATTTTTTTAATTATTTAGAAGTTAATTTTAAAAATATATATATTGAAATTGGGTTAAATGTTTTAACATAAGTAAATATTTTTTTACAAACTAAATTTTATTTTTATTAAAATAAAATAAAATTAAATAAATGATCCTAAAAAAATTTATGGTTGAGTTTATTTCAAAATTTATAATTACAAAAATTGAGTTAAATCTAAAAAATGTCTTAATCCCGTTTAATTTAGCCCAATTTAAATCCTCCAACCAAATAATAATAATAAATTAATTGGCAAAGAAATTTCTTGTTAAGTTTAAAATAATATTTTAATGAAATAGAAGTCATATGACTTCCAATTCCAATCATAAATAAAAAATCAACTAATAAATAATATCTTCCCTCCCAAGCCCACTTTATAAATTTTAAATTAATTAATTAATTAATAAATTAATGAGCATGTGACCATCGTGCTCTCTTAAATAAAATTTTAATTAATGAATTAATGGAAAATAATGGTTGAATCTACACGCCTCGTAAAAGTTCTCTAATTATAATAATTTATATATATTTATATTACAAATAATATAGAAATAATAATAAATAAAAAATAATAATTAATTAACAAAAACGACAAGCTGTCATGTATCTCCCAAGCAAGTGAGTATTTTAGGAAAAAAATGTTTTTCTTCAATGTTGCTAAAAAATTAAAGAGATAAAGTGAAACGTTGACTATGGTTAACGGTCATCCTACTTCGACTTATCCACTATTTTAACCTCTCGAAGTCCTTCACTATCTAAGTTTTGAGCTCTTAAAGTGACACAAAAAATTAAAAGCAAGAAATCGAGACATTTATAAGATAAAATATACTCGAAATATTCATATATATTTACATTATACAAAATGAAATGTTTGTGTCCAAACACGGGAAGGGAGACAGTGTACAAAAGACATGATTGAAAAAAATACACAAATACGAGAGGAGACCTTGAACTAAGATTGTCTCTATAGTTGTTTGCTCCAAGCAACTCCTATCCTCGACTAGCATATAGTTATTACTAAAAAAAAAATAGTAAAGAATCCTAATGAGCAACTAACGTACCTCACTCTTAACTTGATCATTAGGCTTGTACATTCATAACGGTTCGTTCCTTAGAACTTAAGTTCAAAGTCCTTAATAAGTCTATGCCTAGGTCCCATCTTATGTATCCATGTGGTGTTCGTCTCTCTCAAGATGAGTTTACAGTATTTGAGTCCTATCTAGAAACCCACGTCCATTTCCACACATAATACGTAGTCATAAATCTTGAACCTAGGACACTCCCCTAACTTAGACCAATCTAGATCACATGGTCGATACAAAATCGTGATGCAACCCATTAGAAGAGTAATATCATGTGTCTATCTTGTCAATTGAGGCAAGGTATCCCACCAATCGAGGTGAGGAATTCTAAGCTCATGGTATAACAAAATGGAAGGAAGGTCTAGGGTGACTTAAGGCATCAATATGCTAGGCTCAGTCCATATGCCTAGTTCCTTGACATGACCTAAGAATCTCTGCTACTTAGATATTCAATAATGGAGATGAGGAATTGAAGTTGGT